CTGGTGGGCCACATCTGGCCCGCAGGCCACAGTTTGCCCACCCCTGCTTTACAGCAATAGGAGTTGAAGTTGCAGAGATCGTCTTTCTAGCAGGCAGGTGATTAGATAACTGGGCCAGAGTCATTCTTTAGAAGTATCAGCATCCAGGTTCAGGGCCTTTAGTTGTACTTATATATTACAGACTTAAAAATCTAAAATGTTGAAACTGGTCTTAGGACTTCTGTATTAGGGCAGCAATTTGTTTCTTCTGTTGCCTGGAGCCACATAATACAACTGTAGGATTTTCATTTCTGAGTTATAATCTAGTAATATGCTTCCTTGTTCTGGATGGCTTGCAGATAGTCCCTCAGAACATAATAGACTGCACACAGAAGCATGCATGTGTCAGAGGATCTAGGCAAACTTTAATGTTTGTGGGACAAGACTCTAGATTTGTCAGCAGCCACAGAAAGAAAGTGCGCACATGTGATAAATTGCTTGCTTGTATCTTCTCTAGCAGTTTGGGGCTGAGCTCTTTTTGCTAGAGAATTCCAACATGAAGTAGAGCTTTATTAGTCCAGTGCAACATCCTTCAGGGTGGTTCAGTATTTGATGATCAGCAACGTAGATCTGACTATTTAGATCTGACTGTCCATTCTCAGACACTAACCTCAAGTCAAATATTGAAATAAACAGAGATATTCATCCCCGTGTCTAAATAGTTTATGGACATATATATACTCTTCATCTTACAGTCTGTTCTTGCAAACTTGTATACAAGTTTAATAGTTTTATTCCCATGTACATTACAATATTGTCTACAAGATTAATAACCTAACAATCATTTACCCCACATTTTAAAAAGACTAAGATCAAATACTATGGTAACTGAATGTTAATACCTTATTGATCAGCAATTACAGTGATTAACTAGGCAGGCAAAGTTCTTTGAATAGATGTGATATCTTTTATTAGACCAACTGAGTAGCTGGAAAAAAGTTCTTGGCAAGCTTTCAGGCACAGTCACCCTTCTTCAGGCATGGGGAGTCTCTGCTGTCCCATTTTAAGATTCTACCCAATGCTGAGTTCACCACCTCCTCTCACAACCCTGGTAAGTTGTCCCAGTTTTTAATTATTCTCGCTTCTAAGAAACTGAGTTTTATTTCAAGGTTGAATGTGTCTAACTTCCAACTTCCAGCCACTGGATGTTGCTATGCCTTTACCAACACGACTAAACTGCTCTCTATTACATAGCAATCAGATCAGTTTCCAAAATTTTCCTTGATAAGATCAACAGACAGAACTTCTTAATTCTTATATCATAAGGCTTGTTTTGAATCTTGGCATAATGTTGGTGGCCTTCCTTGAAATCTCTCCAGTGTTCCCACATTCTGTGCACCCAAACTGGCAAAAAACCTTAACAATATAGGCATGATAAGTTCACTATTTCTACTCAATGTTCCCACTTTTGATACATCAAAGAACTGCACTCTCTCTCTCTCTCTACCACAGACTGTACTCAAGAGTTCAAACTAAAGCAATTATCTCTTAGGATCCTGCCTCCTTTCCTGAGCTGCTGCTTCCCAAGACACAGTCTCCCATCCCATAGGGATAGCTTGCATTCTTTGCTCCCAGGGGTATTAACTTGAATTTGGATCTATTAAAACACATTTTGTTTTATGGTTATATAGACCACTTTGTAACATTATTTTTAGGGCTGTCAATCACAGCTAACGTGCAAGATTAACGTGTTAATCGGTTCTTGCATTAATTTTTTTTAGAAGTTAATTGTACACATGGCTTTGGAGCCCACACCCGGGCTCCACTCCACCACTGTCACCACCACCTCTGGGCTGCTCAGCGGGGTAGCAATGGCAGAGCAGAGGAGAGACAGGCCAGCCTGGGCATCTGCAGCAGGGGAGAGTGGGCGTACACACAGGCACAGACGAGCAGCCACATGGCCAGGAATGCAGCCTGGCGACGTGTAGAGCAATGCTTTGCAGGTAAGTCTGTGGAGGGGAAGGAGTATGGGGTAGGGAAGCAGTTGGGAAGCCAGATCAAGGCCCCCATGGTAAGGGAGAGAGTGGGGCAGGGACAGGCGTGGGGGTAAATGAAACCCCTGGGAGGCATGGGGGCATGTGCCCCCCAGATTTCTGCATGGGGCGAAGGCAGGCTGCCCACTGTGGGCTGGGGCTCTGCGCCCTGTTGCTTTTGCCCGGGAAGCCACACGATGCCAAGTTGTGCCTCCTGCAGCCGGGCAGGCAGGGGATATGCAGTGCAGCCAGCGCGCAGCTCCCAGGGCAAAGATAGCAGGGCAGAGAGCCCCAGCCAGCAGCCCACCTCTGCCCTGCGCACAAATCCGGGGGGTTTGTGCCCCCCCATGCATCCATGGGGAGCCATGCCCCACCCCCCGTGTCCCTGGGGGTGGGGCACAACACATCAGCCCACAGCTCTGTCCCACAACCTAACCCAGCCCTGGGGCCCCATTCAACCCCGGCCTCTGTTCCTGCCCCATTCCTTCCCTCACCATTGGAGCCTCGATCTGCCCCTCCACCCCCTTCCCTCCACAAACTTATATGCTAGGCACTGTGTCTGTGTACATCTGTGTCTGCCCCTCATTCTCAAGCCATAGCCCCCCAGCCATGCTGCTGCCCCTCACTCGTGATTCTAAGTATCCCGCATCCTGCCAGGGCATGCAGGGACCCCTCCAACCCCCAACTCCGAACCCCACACACACGCCCACAGCCTCCACACGTTCACAAATTCCCGCCCCCCCCACACACACACCCCACACCACCCCCAACCATACAAAGTACCTATATAATTTTGCATCATTTTGAGTTCTTCTGCACATAATTTTGAGGTTTTAGCTGTACAATTAAAATTGCAATAATTGTGACTAATTTTTTTAATTGTACAACTAATTGTGATCAAATTTTATAATCGTTTGACAGCCCTAATTATTTTGTTTCACTGCTTACTACCCTACAAATCTTTTATCGCCTGAAACCTTTACTGGAAAAGATTCTGTCTCATCTAAAATCACTGAAAAATATATTGGCAGATATGGATAAAAATAATGGAATAAGAACTGTTTGTCCTGTTAATTCCATATAATAAAAGTTTTATCAAGATGTGTAATCTTACAGCTAGTTGGTTTTGTGTGGGCTGGTAAAGAATCTTGATTTTTTGTGAATTTGACAGAGAGATCAAGCATTTTATGTACTTTGCAGAAGCAATCAAGAACAACCTGGAGGTATTCAATTGAGTGGACACACACACAACATAATCTTCAGCATACTGAAGACCACTAATGGAGGTGTTGTTTACCTTGGATTTGGAACATAATTAATTGATGTTAAAGATATTCCCTTCCATGCGACACTGGATGCTGACTCCAGATGAAGGTCTATCCGTAATGAGATTCAGAATAGCTGCAATATAGATGGAAAAGAGAGTTGGTGCAATCAGGCATTCTTGCTTGATTTAAGTATTAGTAGTGAAGGAGTTCATTTCTGAGCCACTGCTTAGGACAGTTTCTGTTGTGTCGTCATGAAGAAGAAGTCTGATGATAGTAATAATTTCAATGGGCATTCAAATAGCATCAGGATCTGCCATGGCCTCTCTGCTGAATGAATCCAAGACTTCAGTCAGGTGAATAAAGGTCATGCAAAGATCTCAGTGTTGCTCAAGTCACTTTTCCTTCAGCTGTCTAGGAACAAAGACTGCATCTATTCTACCACTGCGTGGTCTCGGAACTCAAGTAGAAGAATCTCTTCCGCAAGGAAGGTGAGTCTTGAGGAGAATGCAGGTGAGGACCTACATGGACAGGAATGTTGTCCGATAATAGAATTAATTGCAGAAATTATCTCCTTTCTTGATTATGGTAACAACTCTGGCATCTCTCAAGCCACTGGGAATCTGTTCATGTTTCCAGATTTTCATAATAAAAATGTGTTGTTGGTGAGAGGGGAGTTTTTTTTCACCTTCTTTATAGAATTTCAGCTAGCATTCCATCAGGACTACATGGCTTGTTGTTCTTCATTGGCTCAATCGTTTTCAAGGCCTCTTGGTAAGTTTGTGGATCTGCAAAGTTGTCCTCAAGGTTGTGGAATGGCTGTCTTCAGGAGCTCCTGAACCAAGATTCTAGCATTGAGGTACTCTTTCCACTGGGTATTGATCATGGAACTATCTTTAGAGAGTGCTGTTTCATCTTTACACTTCAGAGGGACAATTCCATGTGTGCTCAGCTCATAGATAGTTTTGTTGTGCTGAACACACTAACAGAAACTACAATAAAGTGTTTCATTTCTGGTTTGAGGTTGATGTCATTCTGCCAAGCTTTGCCAAGCTTTTTTCTTTTTTATGTCAATGAGCACTTGAATTTCCCTATCATTCTTACAGAACCAGCCCTAATGTTTCTTTGTGGAGAAGCCTAGAGATTCTTCACATGCCTCATGGATGCCTTTCTTCATAGAATCATAGAAGTAGGGTCGGAATGGACCTTGTAAATTTTCAAGTCCGACCCCCTGCCTGGGCAGGAGGAAAACTGGGCTCAAATGACCCCAGCCAGGTAGGCATCAAGCCTCTTCTTAAAGACACCCCCCCCCCTTCTTCTTGAGGCTCTCAGTGCTATCAGCATCAAGGTCATCAAGGAGGTTGGAGAGTTTCTCACTGAGGCATTGCTGGAGAGGATCACTTGTAGCAGGGTCTTTTAAGCACTCAATATTGAGCCTCTTCCTTGGTTTCTTCTTTTGTTTACATCGTTTTGGAACAATATGCATAGACATGACAGAATGCATCAAACAACGATCCATTTAGCAGTCCTCTGCACTTTCCATAGCTCTGGTAATACAGGCATCACTATGGTCCAGACATGCACTATGATGTAGTCAATCAGATGCCAGTGTTTTTAGGGGATGTACTTCAATTTGTTGCTTTGGCAGAATAAGGAGTTTGTGGTGATGAGATCATGTTCTAAACACCTGTTCAGGAGAAGAATTCTATCTCCATTGACTATTCCCACCCCTTCCTTTCCAAGTGCTCCTTTCCATAGATCAGAGTCCCTACCACACTAGCACTGAAATCACCAAGAACAATTACCTTATTTTCTCTGGGGACAGATAACAGCCTTTGGTTACATTTAGAGGAGAATTCTTTTGTTTTGTCATCTGTATGAAGGGTCAGGGCATATGCACTGCTTCTTGTATGCTGTCTGTTGGTCAGGTGAAGACAAAGGGTCTTGAAATGCTCATTGATGCCAACTGTAAATTCCAGTATCTGAGTAACAAATCTTGGTCTTGATAGCAAAACCAATGTCATGGATGTGTCTATATTTTTTGGTTTTTCCTTTTCAAAAGAAAGATGTAGCCACCACCATGCCCTGTAGGTCACCACCATGCCCTGTGAGCTGCCCCTTTCTTGTGTGTCTGGTATCACAAAGCGTAGTTCTCTGGCCGTGTGTTCTGTTCTTTGTTGGTCACTGTTAGGGCTGTCCCTGAGGATGCAAACATTCCAGGTTGCAAACTTTATCACTTGATTTGGACCCCAGATAGAGGAACCCACGGGACACAGTTGTCCAGTCAGGTGAAATAAGACAGCATTGAGGGCACCTTTTCTAGCCTCCTCTCTGTATGGGGCAAGCAGAGTGGATCTTAAATAGGCCTGTTCATCAAGAATGCAGCTGCTGAACTGCACAATTGTCTCAGTTCCAAGTACAAAATGATCATCATGTAAACATCACCTCACTGTAGGTCTGTGACTACAGGCTTCTGGTAATCACTAGCACTTGTCCCCATCACCACTTGTCCATCACTGCAGGACTTCCTATTGAAGAAAGATGCCCATGAACACCTTTTACTATGGAGATGCTCTTGCACATCAGAAACCACACAATACTTTGAGGGAAGAAACCTTAATCTGATGTGAAGGAAAATCAAGACAACCAGAGGTTTCTATTCTCCTGCAGCCTTCATCCGCTTTTACAGACACTGTGACATATTGTTTCTTGATCTGCCTGCTCTGCTGTTGAGGACTTATTTTTTATTTCTGGGTTACTGTTAGTCTGGAAACCTCACTCTTGACTTAGCTGCCATGGGCATTTATGGACTCACTGATGATTTCCCTATTTACTGGAAGACTGTCATTTTTTAATCAAGAGACTACCAACAATGAGTAATCTTACAGAAAACAGGCAACAGTATTGTTTTATCAAGACCTGCTTTCCATGAAGCGATGCTGGCAGGTATTCATTTATATTTTATAGCCTCTAATATTTTGTTGATCAAGTGGCAAATTAACTATTCCATTATTTTACTTAGGCTAACACAGCTACAGTTCCTAGGTCACAGCTTTCATCCTTTTTAAATATTGGAATTATACTGGCAGGCCTCCAAACCCTTTAGAATTCACCAGAAGTGAAATAAGGATCAAAGTAAGTTCCTGGGTCAGTCACTTTACAGTTTTGACAGTGGAAACAATACTCTCACCCTTTACAAAAGTGAGTGAGAAGAATTGCAGGAATTAACTCAGAAACCTGTTGATAAATTATTTTTGCCCAGAACTTTTTAACTTCAAATGTTTAGTAACTGAGACAACTAAGTACAATTTAGTTTGTGTAATCCATACCTGATGATACTGCCTCTCCCAGCATTGTCTTGCAGCGCTTACAAATTACTCTGGTATTTTCCTTTGATTTCTGTAGGACAGAGAAATGTCATTTAAATGTCGTTCAACTACTTTGAAAAGGAATGTATAATTTTAACATACTCTCCAGAGTGCACCATGAACTTTATACTTCATTCTGCATCTCCTCATTCTTACATACACACTGATTTGTCTTGGCTATTTTACTCATTTCAGTCTTCTAAGATTTCTGAGCTATTTATAAATGGTGCATTTAATTTAAATCTTATGGTGATTATGATGCACATATGAAACCCAGTTTACAGACTTAAACTGAATATAAAAGACAATCGCTAAACATTAAACCTACCCTAATTCACGCTATTCCAAAAGAAGAGTTTTTGCATCCAGTACTTTCACATACATATGCACCAGGTCTTTTGGTGTATTTGCACAATATGTGAGTTACATAAGTTTAATTTTACATGCTTACTGAAATTTTAAAAGCTGTTACCAACTTAAAAAGTCATATTAAAGCACCTACACTGAAAATTATTATAAACAAACAGAATAATTAACTTATTATAAACAAATATATATCCTCATGGCGGACACGGCATGGGAGGAGCCCCAATCCATCCCCGAGCAAGCTGAGGGCCAGATAAGCTACCAGAGGAAGAGGAGACGGGTCATTGTAGTGGGCGACTCCCTACTGAGAGGAGCAGAGGGAAACATCTGCTGCCCGGATCCCATGGCGCGTGAGGTGTGTTGCCTGCCAGTGGCCAAGAACCGGGATGTCACGACAAGGATTCCTGACCTGATCCGGCCCTTGGACTACTATCCCATGGTCCTCATCCATGTGGGAACCAATGACGTGGCCAGGAGTAGTCCTGACCGTGTCATGGGTGACTACAGGGCTCTGGGGGCCAGGTTTAGGGAGATGGAGGCGCAGGTGGTCTTCTCGTCCATCCTCCTGGTCATAGGTCGCAGTAGGCATCACAGCGCCTGCATTAGAGACGTCAACCTGCAGCTCAGGAGTTGGTGCCACAGTGCAGGATTTGGCCTCCTGGACCACGACCCACACTTCCTGGCAAGGGACTTCCTGGGGCGCAATGGACTTCACCTCTCAGCGAAAGGTAAAAGTCGTTTCTTCAGCAGGTTGGCTGATCTCCTACATGGGGCTTTAAATTAGCTCAGACGGGGGATGGGGAGGCAGAAGAAGGAGAACATCAGGAACCTGCAATCCATGGGACATCCAGCAGTACAACACAGGTAAGCAATAAGCAGGTAAGCAATAAGGGGCCCATTGGGCATCTGAGCCAGGGGGCAACAAAGGCACCAGTTACAGGGCACAAGTGCCTATACACTAATGCTAGGAGCATGGGGAACAAGCAGGATGAACTAGCACTCCTGCTTGCAGAAAACTTACGACTTAGTGGGGTTAACAGAAACCTGGTGGAACTCTACCCACGACTGGGCGGTACACATTGAGGGCTATAAGTTGTACAGAAAGGATAGAGTGGGGAGGAGAGGGGGAGGAGTTGCGCTCTATGTCAAGGAGTGTTATACATCAACCCTTATCAAAATAGAGTCGGAGGAGGAGAAAGTAGAAGGATTGTGGGTTAGGATACATGGAGGCCAAGGGGAAAGGGATTTGGTGGCAGGGGTCTGCTACAGACCCCCACACCAAGGGGAAGAATTAGATTTGGAACTCCTGAGGCAGCTCTCGGAGACCATAAAGACTAGGGAAGCAGTAGTCATGGGGGACCTAAACTACCCTGACATCTGCTGGGAGACGCAGACAGCAAATTCCCACCATTCAAGCAGGTTCCTATCCTGTGTACATGACCTCCACCTGACGCAGGAGGTACATGGCCCCACTAGGGGGAAGGCCTTACTGGACCTGGTATTGGCAACAGGGAATGACATGGTAGGGAACCTACAGAACAGTGGTCACCTGGGGGACAGTGACCACCAAATAATAGAATTCACCATAAGGCGTAGAGAGGGAAAGGTAACTAGTAGGGCGGAAGTGCTAGACTTTAGGAAGGCTGACTTCAGCGAGCTCAGGTGTTTAGTCAACAACACACTGCAGAGTAAGAGATCTGGCAAAATGGGAGCCCAGGAAGGGTGGCTGTGCCTTAAGGAAGCGATCCTTTGGGCACAGAGGGAGATGATCTCAGTGGTGCGGGGGAAAAGGAGGAAAGGGGCCAAGAGGCTTCCTTGGCTGACTAGAGAAATCCAGAGCAGCCTAAGAGCAAACAGGGAGAGATTACTAAAGAGGAGTATACCTCCTCAGCTCACAGTTGTAGGGAGGCAGTTAGAAAGGCCAAAGCTACCATGGAGCTGAGGATGGCTTCCCAAGTTCAGGATAACAAAAAATTGTTTTTCAGAAACATAGGGAGTAAAAGGAAGGCCCAGGGTGGTATAGGACCACTACTGAATGGGCAAAAGCAATTGGTAGCAGACAGGGAAGACAAGGCTGAACTCCTCAATGAGTTCTTTGCCTCAGTTTCCTAAACGAGGGGCAAGACAAGTCTCACAATGGGATTGTAGAGAGGCAACAGCAGGGCGCCAGACTACCCAGCATTGACCCTAAGATGTTGCAGAGTCATTTGGAAGGACTGGAAGCGTTTAAGTCAGCAGGCCTGGATGAATATTTGAGCGCTCGTGGCACACAGGCCAGGTCCCGGAGGACTGGAAAAGGGCCAGTGTGGTCCCTATTTTCAAGAAGGGGAGGAAGAAGGATCCAGGCAACTATAAGCCAGTCTTACCTCCATCCTTGGCAAAGTCTTTGAAAAGATTATTAAGGCTCATATATGTGAGAGCCCAGCAGGAAAATTATGCTGAGGGGAAACCAGCACGGGTTCATAGCAGGTAGATCATGCCTGACTAATCTAGTCTCTTTTTATGACCAGGTTACAAAACACTTGGATGCAGGAGTAGGGGTAGACATCGTTTACTTAGACTTCAGGAAGGCCTTCGATACGGTATCCTACCCCATACTGGTGAACAAATTAAGAGGCTGTGACTTGGATGATTACACAGTCCAGTGGGTGGCAAATTGGCTAGAGGGTTGTACCCAGAGAGTGGTGGTGGATGGGTCAGTATTGACCTGGAAGGCATGGGCAGTGGGGTCCCACAGGGCTAAGTCCTTGGACCAATACTCTTCAATGTCTTCATCAGTGACTTGGGTGAGGGAGTGAAGTGTACTCTGTCCAAGTTTGCGGCTGATACAAAACTGTAGGGAGAAGTAGACACACTGGAGGGCAGGGAACAACTACAGGCAGACCTGGACAGATTGGACAAATGGGCAGAAAACAATAGAATGCAATTTAACAAGGAGAAATGCAAAGTGCTGCACCTAGGGAGGAAAAATGTCCAGCACACCTACTGTCTAGGAAATGACCTGCTCGGCAGCACAGAAGCGGAAAGGGATCTCGGAGTCCTAGTGGACTCCAAGATGAACATGAGTCGCCGGTGTGACGAAGTCATCAGCAAAGCTAACTGCACTTTATCGTGCATCAGCAGATACATGACGAACAGAACCAAGGAGGTGATACTTCCCCTCTATCGGGCACTGGTCAGACCACAGTTGGAATACTGCATGAAGTTTTGGGTGCCACATTTTAAGAGGGATGTGGATAACCTGGAGAGGGTCCAGAGAAGGGCCACTCATATGGTTAAGGGCTTGCAGACCAAGCCCTATGAGGAGAGACTAAGGTACCTGGACCTCTTCAGCCTCCGCAAGAGAAGGTTGAGAGGCGACCTTGTGGTTGCCTATAAAATCATCATGGGGGCGCAGAAGGGAATTGGTGAGGCTCTATCACCAAGGCGCCCCTGGGGGTCACAAGAAATGGCTATAAGCTAGCAGACAGCAGATTTAGACTGGACATTAGGAAGAACTTCTTCACAGTTAGAGTGGCCAAAATCTGGAATGAGCTCCAAAGGGAGGTAGTGCTCTCTCCTACCCTAGGGGTCTTCAAGAGGAAGTTAGATGGGCATCTGGCTAGTCATCTGAAACCAGCTCTCTTTCCTGCCTATGCAGGAGGTCAGACTCGATGATCTATTGAGGTCCCTTCCGACCCTAACATCTAAGAATCATCTATGAAAAAACAAATGAAAAAAATATTCCAGAACTTCCTGTATGTCTGATACCAGATGACTGCCAATTTCCATTGATTCTTAAGGGAAGGAAGCCACAAGCTGTCTTCAGTAGAAAGAGTAACCATTTCACTGAAGTCACTGCTACCGCTGAGCTTCCAAACCTTTGTATGCATGAGGTATGTGACAGAATGCCATCTCTGTCTCTCCCCAAACTCTGCTATCAGGTGGATGCCTAATCTGACAATTTGGTTACCATGGTCACTGCAGAAAGCAGACACGCCTGGCCCCATCGGCTTCAGGTAACCCTGAGTTATAACCTGAGCTGGATACACTCCTGAGGGAGGGGGAAACCTGCTCCCTCTGCCTACATGACTGGGTGGGGGCTTAAACTCCCTAATGTTCTAAGAAATTTCATCATGACTGGGAGGGGGCTAGAGACGCTGCCAGTCTACCCAGCAACCAGTAATGCATTTCAAATTGGTTTGAATTGGCAGCCAACAATTGCTGGCCTTCACTGAATCAGGTAAATGAGGTCATAAGTTAAGGACTGCCCAGGAGGTAGGGCAGCAGCCACGATGAGAACGCTCAGAGAAGCTGGACCATCTGAAACTTGCTCTCTCTCTTGAAACTCATGGTCAATGAACTGCTTGCCTCCAGAGGAAATCTCTACCTGCCTCTGAATGATACTTGTGAGTAAGCTACTTGAGATCTAACTAGATAACTCACATGCGTGATCAAAGACTACCATGCCACAGTTTGCTCTACGGGATTTCTCTGATATTCCTGTACCCTATTCCAAACCTACTGCTTGTAGCCAACAAAGTTCTCCTTTGTACCTAGCACGGGAGATTCATTGGGAGAGGGTTTAGATTATGCTTTGGGGTCCCCTTGGGGTCTCGTTGGTATGGCTGACTATGGGAGACCACTGTTTGTGCTTCAGACTGAAGGAGGCAGACAAGGTTCCTT